TAGGCATCCTCCAACCCCCGTCCTTCTCCTTCCCTTTGATGACCCATATCGCTGTCGCCCACCTCTAATCGTAAGAGCAGGATCATTCAGACATCATAGAAGGCGAGGGTCGCAACAGCAGCCACTATTAGTATGACACCCACGACTGTAGAACAGGTGTGACCACGGGAAGGAGAGCAAGCTCCGCTTGAGGAGGCCTGTGATCGGGATAAAACCCACAGTCGGTGTAAAGACTCAGATCGACACTGCGCCCTCTACGAGCAATAGCCCGGCCACCAAGGTACGAATGGTAGCAACCGGCGGAATGTAATCTTCCCGGCAACCATGATCTTCAATGAGAACAGGATGGCGAGCACCGAGCCCGCAGTTTGCACACATAAAAAGAATAAAAGGGGAAAATGAATCCTCCCCTAGATGACGGTCTGATTCACTCCTTTTTATTATATTTTCCTGTGTAGCAGCGACTACTCCCATGGGCGCAACTCCTTTCTGTGATATCTCAAGGTCTAGCCGCTAACTTTACAAACTAACCTCATAATCTAACTCGCAGATATGAAGAACCCTTATTTAGCATCCTCCCTCGCCCGTTTTCGTCCGGAAACGGGTGAGATATGCATTTTTCCATCTCCTTTTTCTTCACTTTCCCTCCATCTCCGTGCACACCATTTCTCTACTAACTCCCAAACTACTAAGTTTTAGCTCAAACTAACAGCATAATTTGACTCGCCCGGTCAAAAAAACTAAATCTAGCATTTCAAATCGCGAAGAACGGTCAAGAATTGAGTGAGTTATTGCAACTTCACTCCCCCCCCCTTTTCTACTCTCCGCCATCTTCGTTTCCTGTGAATGCACCTGGCGCCAAATCCCGTCCGGGTTCATTCGCCTTTTCCCCCTTCCTCATAGCCCTTCCTTCATCGCCTTACCACCTGTTGCTGCGCTGCTGGCACGGTACCCGCGCTATGCCCGTTTGCTCCGCCACCTTAGCTGCGCTGCGCTGCTGCCTCACTCCGCCCGTCGTCGTTAGCATAGTGCCCGACTGCTACACAACGCTCCGGCCAGTCTTACTGTCCTGTTGCTTGCCTGCCTGGTACTACTGCCCGYGGCTTGCTGCTGCTAGCGCAGCGTCTGATGGTCGTAAYGGCTYGCTGCTGCCGGGCCAGCCCCATTACAGTCTGTCCCTGCGTGCTCACTCCGCCCAGGCGGAATGCTCCAACCCCTCAGGCCTCCAACAGTCGGGCTCTCCCATAGGTACGTGGGATGCGGTGTCGGCTGAATGCCCCTGCCGCAGGCCCATAGCATGGCCCCTGGTGCAGCATTGCCCCTGGTGCAGCCGGCCCCGACACAGATTTTAGAGGTAATAGCAAATATTCCAGTGATAACTCTGAGACCCGAACCGGAGGGAAACCCCGTGGGCATACTCACACCCACACCTCCTATAACGGATCGTGGTAGGCGGGCGGTGCATATTCACACCCGAAGAGGGTCCCCGCCACTCAGGTTCCTCCCGCCTCGTGGGCTAATCATCTACCGGCTCGAATGTACGTTAATTCCCCCGGCCCATATTCTTAGGACATACAAGATAAAAGAACTTTGCCAACACCTTGAACACGAGGGGACCTGTAAGTCAACGAACGGAGGCGTGCGCTCAAATTAAAAGGTACCAACGAAAAAAAAAAAAAATTGATCTTAAAAAACTTCCAGTCGCCAAAGACAAAATAAAGGATACCCCCTGCACCGCTCTGACGCCGCCAAATGGCAAAACCAAACGGGGTAGCCCTACGGCCCTCAACCCCATCGGCTTCCTCCTCGATGCTCCGCTGCCGCTGCGTCGACGCTCGCCGGCCTCGATCCCTGAACCTTCGTACTGTCAATCCAAAGTCGTCACCTATAGGGCTAAGCCCAAGCCTGGGACTAAGTCCCGCAGAATACCATATAGGCAGTGCGGCGCGACGCTTTGGGCCAACAAAACGGCTGCGCGGCTCCCATTTGCCCGCGCCGGCTGGCTTATATAAGTACCAATCAAAAGAAAATATCCTTAATTCCTGCTTAATCAAAAATAAATAAATAATAAATAATATCACCAAGCAAAACGACCAAGGCCCGGACCGGCTCTACGATCAACAACAGAAAAGAATCACGCGTGCCTTAAACCTGCGCGCCCACGCACTCGCTATTGTGGTCAACCACCCAATCAACGCAATTATAGACGCAACCGCGCTTAGCGCGGTATACTTAAATTGTAAATCAAAACCGTTTTTCTGTTACTTGCAAAAACCAGGGCGGATACCCTTGTAAGGGTATTCGCACTGACACCTCGACTCATTTCAACACAACGTTGGTCTCCGGCGCCTTGTTTCCCAAGGTCGCCTGGTGGCATGGCTGCTGATGTCTTGTAGCATAAGGCAGATAGTATGCTCAGTGCATTCGGAACTACACATCTAAACACTCTTGCATTCTCGAACAAAATCCCGACGACACTCATCCAATCAAATCGAAAAGTCATGCATCTCTATACATGCATTCACTGTGGAAGGTGCGAAAAGGAGATATGCACAGGAAAAGATGGATCGCATTGCACAATACACACGCATCCATCGTTCGCAAGACAAGTAGACGGGGTCCTTGTGTAGGAGGATTACCCAGGAAACTATAGGTTCCGGAAGAAGTTCTTTCACACAGAAGCAGGATGCCAACTCATTCCTACTCAAGAGAGGGACAATCATTCAGACGCATCATCATTCAAAAAGAGAGAGAGGGAGAGAGAGAGAGAGAGAGTCGAGGGAAAGAAAGTCACAATAGGAGATGACAAGGTCCGGAAACAGAAAAGTTCGGCGTCACCGCCGCACGCTCACGCCAAAGATAACAATCTGCAACAAAGGCACATTCACCGTTAATTCCACTATGGCCCCGGGCCAATCACTCACTCAACTCCAATCATCGAACCTCATACCCGCACCGACGATCCCGACCGTCGCGTGCTAATTCCCACCACTGCGATCGTCACCCCGCTGTCGTAAACTCGACATGGTTCGTCTAGATCCCACAGTTCGTCGTGACGATCCAGCGCGCAACCGACCAGTCTATCGTCAGCCCGATAGGACTTTTCGACTCGCTTCAAACACTCTGCCTAGCCACTGCTTCCCGGAAGCTGGCTTGAGATCGAGAATGTCAGAGAGTTTTGCGGGCGCGCTTGCGGGTTTTATAGTTGCGACAGAGGAGATAGAAGGGGGAGAGAACGAAGGGAAGGCGGGGGTGTAGGAGGAGAAGACTTTGAGAAGAACGCTCCGAGAACGCCATGTTGATCCCTCGGAACTCAAGGTTCAACCAATCAGATTCGTCGCGGGATAGGAAGGTCCTATCGATCCACGCACCTGATTGGCGAGCGGGAGTTATCGGGGGATCGACCGGGCATCGTACGCCAGACTCAGAGGGTGAGAAGAGAAATGGCGCGAGAGGTGGCGCAAGATGGGTCCAAGATTCAGACGATCAAGAAAGGGAAATGGGCGCGCAAACAGCAAGACGGGGGAAGGGGAGAGAGGAAGAAACAGTTACGGGTAGAGAGAAAGAGGAGGGAGAAGGAGAGGGAGCGAGGGAGGGAGCGATGCGGGGGACAGAGAGGAGAAAGCCTCTGCATGCGTGGCGCCGTCAACAAAAAAGAAAGAAAAAGGCACCGAAACAGTTACGACTTGCTTCTCTCCTAATTCAAAATTGAAATCACCATAGCCGCTCGTGAAAAAGCGACGCGGGAAAAGAAAATCCTACGCCTATTCGTATTCACGCAAAATTCCGAAAGCTTTCCCCGGCGCGCCCAAGAACATTCACACACCCGAAAAGGACACGTCGAAGTTCCGCTTATCGCGGAATTCCCAACTGCTGAGCCCAATTCCCAGTGCGCTCGCTAAGGCGCACATAAATTCCCATGTATTTTCCGACTTTGCAAAAAGAAAAATAGAACTCAGCAGTCGAAAAAAAGCTCTCAAAAAGGAAAATGCGGCACCCGAAAGCAAGAAATCAAAACGGGGTCTTCCTAGGGTTGGTATGATATATGCAAAAGAAAGGGTACGAAAGGTGGCACGGGGTCGTGAAGTGGTTCGTCACATATGTGACATGCAGGGGGTTCCAAAATTATGCGATCTTCTGATTGCATGTCATGGCAAAAAAAGGAAGAGGGGAGAACAGAGTAATGCATGAGGAACCGAACGTATCAACAGAGCAGAAAGAAGTACAAGAAACGATAACTTGAGCCGCGGATGAGATGGCGACAACATCCGTGGCCAGATTTGTGTAGCCCTGTCATATGCAACCCTCTGCCTCGTGAAGATCGTCCAGGTGACGCCATCATGGTCCACCCGATCTCCGTGTGCTCTGCACCCCTGCTCGTGGCAGTCCATCGAATCAGCGCGTAGGTTGATGTCATCGTTGATGGCGTGATCTTCACGAAGCTTACTGATTTGTGCAGATGAAGAGAGGAGAGAAAAGAAAAAAAAAAAAAAAA